CCAGCATCTTCAGCCCCACACAGAGGCCTTCATCGTTTTCCTTAAATATCTTGGCATTTATGTCATATTCTCAAGACATCCTTCTACCTCTGAACTTAACGAACATATGAAGGTTTGGCAAGAGCATGAAACTATTTTCTCTCTTTGATCTAACTGCCCAGACACCAAGTTTTCCCCTTATCTTTCAGCCAGTCCAAGTTGCAAGAGAACTTACCTTTGGATGCTGGTTTTTGTTGAATATTAATCACACCCCATAGTCATCTTTGTGCATAGGCAGCCATCACACATATGACTGCTTATGCCCACACTGCTTTGTAGTCCATTTTTTCCTCACTGTTTCATTGTCTTGGGCAGAGAAACTCATAAAATGTGACTGAATAGTGGCTCTCCTCACTTGTATCAAAGATAATTCCATTTTAAGGAGAAGATGTTGCTAAGTATCACTGCCAGGCTGAACATCAGCAACCCTTCTAGTTGGTGGAAAATGGTCTTTTCGCTTCTTTTCTCATTATTCCCTTACGTAGATGCTCTTCTTTTCTCATTATTCCCTCAGCTCCCTATTTTTTCCTGTCCACTGTGTCCGCTTCCAGCTCTGCCTCATTTCTCTCCTTTGGCATAATTTCATTTATTATCGTTTACATCATCCCTACTTTAGGAACTCGCTCCCAGATATATTCCATACTTAAATTTCCTCTTTTGTTTCTTAGCAAAACTCCCTTGTCCCAGGTTGTATGTTCTCCAGCCCACATTCCATAACACTTTAGAAAAATCAACACATGCTAATATGTTAATAGGCACAAATAACATAACTTACTATCTACTTCACCCACAAAGTGACAAATTAACATTATAATTCCCCAAAGAAGGACTCCTAAGCTGGAAAACTTCAGGTAAACATAGTGGAAGACAATATTTTTGGACAGTGGCTGTGTCTTCTAGTATTCTTCAAATCCCTTAAGTGTTTGCTGATGCATTGGGAGTAATATACAGTACTCCACTAGGGGCTGATGGTCTGTTTGTCATATGACTAAGTAACCAACATGTTTTGTGCTCCTCTGGTCTCATTTTTCTTTCCAGGTCCTAGTCACGGTAGTTTACCACATGGTATTTGGACAAGTTAGAGGGAGCAGAACAAGTAATGGTAAACACTCTTCTTCAGCAAAGGCTTCTTGGAAACAGAATTGGGATAAGCAGATGGTGAATGTCACATTGGATCAGCTGCATTGGATAGACACCATGGAAGAGTCTCAAAGGACCCTGGTTGTCCACCCTTGGCATTAGGCAGTGACGCAGATCTGACTTAGGCTGCTTTTATGAAGTAGCAACTACTGAACACTGTTATTGTTTTTGATGAAAAGAGCCCTGTGGATTGTTTTTGATCTTCATATTAACAAAGAAGAAAAAGACAGCCAGGTTATTTCTTAGAAACAACAAGAAAGATTTTCCCTTAAAAATGTGCAAGATACATCTCTGCTGGAACATACGTACGCACACACACACACAGAGACAAAACAAAACAAAACAAATGAAAAATCCTTTCATCCAGAATCCGTGGTTTGCTTTCTTTTATTCCTTAGTATACGTGAATATGTGAAAATGCACAACACTCAGACGTGCAGCCTGATCGAGTGATAATCTCTTATAATGTGCCTCTATTTAAAGCAACAAACAGATGGAGGGTTTATGAGGAAGGCTGGTAAAAGTAAAAGCAAATTATTGTAATAGTTGTACTTTTAATAGGATTCCCCACAATCTAAAACATTATTCCCCAAGGAACAAATTGTTCTATAAAATTGCGTTACTTAGGAAAAAGACAGTCTGCCCTGACTTTGCAGAGGCAACAGAGGACTCCGGATGGCCTTCTATTGCAGGGGCTCTCAAGGCAGATCGGTGTCCTGGGAGAGAGGATACAGGGATGTCAGCTACTGTGATCTCCTAAGAAAAAGCTCAGTGGAATTGGGTAAAAGGCGGAAGGACCAAGGGGCCATTGGAGGTATGAAATAATTCTGAGCTTTGATTGAATTTCTTACCTTCTAATTTTCTACTTTAAAAAACAAGGTTTGGGAAATTCTTACAAATTTAAGATAAGCAAGCAATGTCATTTCCTGCTCTACGACTCAGACCAACATCTCGCTCTACACAGCGAATCTTGCTCCACAAATAGTGGAACTGTAAACAACCCAACACAAATTCATGACCATTATCCCTTTTCAAGAGAAACAAAACTCATAATAATTCTATCATTAAGATGAATGGACTGTAGTGATGGCCTTTACGTAAATGATAATTAAAGCTAATCGTAATTAAAGTTATTACACCATTTTGGAAGAAAATAAACAACCCAAAGAGAGGGAAACAATGTGGTCAATAACTCACTCCAAAAATATTTTTTGCCTCCAAAGCTCGCATTGAGGGAGACATTCCTGTGCATGATACAAATGGTTCTGACATTAAGAAAAGTAAACAAGTAAGAAAAATAAAGATGGAAAAATTCTGTGGTCAGTTCACAAGTGCTTTTTTATTGTTTGAGGCAGGGTTAAAGCCTTTTATAAAGACAAGGATATATGTGCTGGTAGATTGGATATGACATTGGACTCGTCTAGCTGCCCTTGCACAGAAATCTGGCTGCCCATAATATGCCATGGACAAAACATGTGTTGGTGCTCTAAACAAAGAGCCAGGGTGGGACCTAAGGCAGCTAATTTAAAGCATTACCCCAATGTTGTTTTGTAGATCAAACAGAGAAAAGGTACTCAGCTCTGGTTATTAATGGATTTGAGAGATAAAGGCAAACATTTCATATCCTCTAATTATTAATGGCCTTGAGGATTTTGATCTAAATTTGTCTCCATAACTGATTAACTTGCATAATCTACAAGAGGGACTCCTGCCAGCCTCGTTCCAAGTCATTCAAGGACTGTGTTGACTCAGGAGCCCAGAGGCCACGTAAACGGTCTAGAACTGAGAAAGTAGTTTCGTCTCAGGTCCTTGGGGATTGTGAGTCCCCAAAGACTTGTACAGTAGCAACTCTCTAGTTCTGTGTTATCTATAACTTGGAAGGACTTTCTTTCAGGTTTTGCTGTCCTCAATCTAACCTAATACTGGGAGATCCAGGACAATGACCACCTGGTCTAAACAGAAGAAGGAAAAATAAATGCTGTTGTTCCAAGAGCACCCAGCCTTTCAAATATCTCCTAGAGTGATTTTACCAGTGTATCGGATATTAAATGAAATTATAGCCACCCGTACGATTATGCTTTTTCTTGTAACATTAGTGCTGGAATTGAGCCAAAGATATATACAAAGACCATCACACGAGCTTATGGATTTCATTTCTGAGAGGTCCTGAGGAAAATTCAAAGGGTTTGTGCCCTCTATTAAAAACTGCTTGGTCTGGTGGGTGTTTTCTATAGTCCTCCTTTTCTTTTTTAACTTCTTGACCCATCACTCTATTTTCATCACCTCACTATCTTTAAATAGCCCCCAAAGGAGCAAGCCAGCTCCAAACTACAAATATGGCCACAGGCATTGCTGGACGTATGTGTGGTTAAAAATAAATAAATAAATGGATAAAGAAGATGTGGTGTATATATATACAATGGAATATTATGCAGCCATCAAAAGGAATGAAATCTTGCCATTTGCAACAACGTGGATGGAACTGGAGGGTATTATGCTGAGCAAAATAAGTCAATCAGAGAAAGACATGTATCATATGACCTCACTGATATGAGGAATTCTTAATCTCAGAAACAAAGTGAGGG